ACCCTTGGCAACTGACTTGTACTTATGACCGGTTGCAGCCTCCCCACGGTCACGTGATCAAAAGTCGGACCCTTGGCAACTGACTTGTACTTATGACCGGTTGCAGCCTCCCCACGGTCACGTGATCAAAAGTCGGACCCTTGGCAACTGACTTGTACTTATGACCGGTTGCAGCCTCCCCACGGTCACGTGATCAAAATTCTACCATCTGACCAGGCTATAATTTCGAAAATTTTGGACTGTGCAGAAATGGATAGATTAACTTTGGAGATGAAGGAGAAAGAAGATTCAATTTATTTTAAAACTTGGGAAAAATTTTATTGATGGGTTAGAAACACGCTAGAATACGATCAGAACTTAAAATTGAATTGAATTCTAAAACTGAATAGAATAAATGACAGACTCTTAATTAAATATTTCTTAGATTAATAATAGCTGTATTATTACTGACTTTAAATATTAATGGTGATGACTAGAATTTGTTGACATGTTATTAAGCATGAATATTTATTTAGAGGAATTTTACTTACGGTACCTATCTAATTTTAGTTATATGATTATAGTTAACTTTATCTTTATAATTGTTTAGTATTATACAAATTATGTTTATTTAATATTTAGATCCGGAGGGTAGCTTGTTTGTTAAAGCTTTGGGATTATTATGGGGGTTAACCCATTATTGTACCTACCCTTTTCCTATCCCAAATTCCTATTCCCACTCCCCTCATACCCGTATTGACCCTATCTTTCCTTACCTATATAAAACCTAATAAAATATTTATTTAAAAAAAAAAAAATTTGGAGGCTTGGGAGCTGACTTGTACTTATGACCGGTTGCAGCCTCCCCACAGTCACGTGATCAAAATTCGGAGGCTTGGCAACTGACTTGTACTTATGACGGTTGCAACGTCCCCTTTTGCGACCTTCTGACAGGCAAAGTCAGATTCACTTAACAACCGTGTTACGCACTTAAGAACTGCAGTGATTCGTTTAGCAACTGGGGGCAAGAAAGATTGTAAAATGGGGAAGAACTCAGTTAACAACCGTTGATATTGGGCTCCGTTTAGTCATAAATCGAGGGCTATCTTTTTTTAATCTATATATATATAAGTTTTATTAATTTTTAAGAAGTACAATCTTTAGTGCTTAGTAAACGACGTGGTTTCTGGGTTCAGATATTTAACATTAACCTCTTCAACATAAGTCTGTTCGATACTACACAATCCAGTATTTTTTTTTCCCCTGATCCTCCTTTCTTCCCCACATTTTTTTTTCCATTTTCCCCCCTCATTACACAGTTACAATTTTCGGTACTGTTGATGTGTACAGAGTTAGGTATAAGCATCTTGGTCATATTTTACTACTGTCATACAAATAATTGAGGACTATCTTTATAAGGCTCACAAAGGCACATGTGAGTAAAGACTGAATCAATGTGCACAGGATTCTCTTTCACTAACAATCAAACATTTAGAAATACACACACACACACACACACACACACATTCAAATTTTTGTAGCCGACAAAGAGTTAAAGGGAAACTAGTATAGCTATTTTGAGCTATTTAGCTCTCATCAGCTAGCCATACACACACACACATACATATACATACATACATACAAACACGCACACACACACATACATACATATATACACATACATATATATATCTTATCAGTTGGGTGAGGCACCCAGTCCACCAAATATAAATCAGTCTGTCTGCGTTTCGCTCCAATCTAGGAGCATGTTTTGCAGGCAGATGTCACATACTGTGAACACTATAAATTCAAAATGTGTGGCTGACAAAGAGTTAGTGGGAGACTAGTATAGCTATTTCAGGCTCATTAGCCCTCATCAGCTAGTCACACCCTTCAGGGATTCGAACCTGGGCAGCTTGCATTGTTAGGCACCTGTATTACCCTTCTGAGCCTGAAGGGTGTGACTAGCTGATGAGAGCTAATGAGCCTGAAATAGCTATACTAGTCTCCGACTAACTCTTTGTCAGCCACACATTTTGAATACATACATACATATATACAGGGCTTTTTTTCTCGGAGAAAAGGTGGCGGAACTCAAACCTGGCCACGCCCTCATCAAACCCTAGGACCGCCCCTTTAGAGAACAGGAATGCAAGTAAAATTTGGGAGGGGCTATTTCCGGTGTGGGAGGGGCTATTTCCGGTGCGGCCGGCCCGGAAACAAAAAAGCCCTGCATATATACATACATACATATATACACATACACATACATACACGTGTGTATATATATATATATATATATATATATATATATATATATATATATATATATATATATATATATATATATATATATATATATATATATATAAAGACTTCTCTTTCCCATATTTGGGCCGACAGGGTGCTCTAAAAGAAAAAAAAAAGCATTCATATATATAGCTATATAAATAAAAATGTAAATGTTTGTTTGTTCAAAATCTTAAATCTCCGAAAGTTCTTCACCAATTGCTTTGAAATTTTGACACAACGTTGCATTCGAATACGCCCGTGTTTTTATATACCTACTATTATATAGATGTCACACCTGTGACAGGTAAAAACATGCTTTTTTTGAAAAACAGCGCCATCTGTTGGACATAAAAGCTTTCTCTTTTCTTTCTTTTCCATTTAACCAGACTGAGCCACAGCAACACGTGGCCGGGTACAGCTAGTATGTATGTATGTATGTATGTATGTATGTATACACACATACACACACACACACAAGCTCCTTGAAATAACATACATACACACATACATACATATACACATATACACATACATACACACACACACACATACACATACATACATGCATACATACATACATACATACATACATAACAAATGGAACAACTTGCCTCCAGAAGCGGTGAATGCTCCAACACTAACTAATCAAGGAGAGAAGCAACCTGGAACTAAGGAGAAACTTCGTAACAGTGAAGACAATTAACCAGTGGAACAACCTGCCTCCAGAAGTTGTGGGTGCTCCATCACTGGAGGTTTTTAAGAAGAGACTGGACAGCCATTTGTCCGAAATGGTCTAGGGTCTCCTGCCTGAGCAGGGGGTTGGACTAGAAGACCTCCAAGGTCCCTTCCAAGTTTATTTATTTATTATTATTATTATTATTATTATTATTATTATTATTATTATTATTATTATTATTATTATTATTATTATTATTATTAATTATTGTATATAATGCTAATGTAAATTAATGCTTATCTAATATAGAGTGAGCTTCACTGAGGTATATTTCTTACCTGCTGTTCATCCTCCATGACATTACTGGCAAATTCAAACATCAGGTCATTTTGCTGTACCACGGCTGCCATAGTAAAGCATTCCAAAAGTCTCAATTCAGCATGGAACAAAAATGCCTCTTCAGCATTAAGAAGACAGAACTTATGATCGCCGGGGGATGAGTCTGTATCGGGGCAGGGGGGGGGGGCGGTTGAAGTTACTCGGGCCAGGGATAAAATTCTTAGCCGGTCGGTCTTCCTTTTCGAGTGTCGTTTGAACACGGTTTCTGGAAAAAACCCTAAAAAACAGAGAACAAAAAAAAAGAAGAAGATTAAGTCGGTATGAAGAACCAAATAAAAATACCAACGATGCAAATATGAATTAGGCCGTGCTTTGGTTTGACGGGACTTTGTTTAGCGTTTCTTAAGAACAGAACAAGAATAATGGATGAATCTTACCAAATATGAAGCACGTGACTTTTTCCATTCCTCTCTCTTTCTCTCTCCCTCCCTCCCTTGCTCCTTCTCTCTCTCTCTCTCTCTCTCTCTCTCTCTCTCTCTCTCTCTCTCTCACACACACACACACACACACACACACAGACACACACACACACACAGACACACACACAGACACACACACAGACAGCTGCCAGAAAGACAGTTAAAACACTAACAATCCAGACTGAAAACACAAAGAAGCCCCACACACCAGAATCAGAGTCGAGCTGGGAGGGACCTCGGAGGTCTTCTAGTCCAACCCCTTGCTCAAGCAGGAGACCCTATAGTACCATTTCAGACAAGTTGGCTGGTCCAGTCTCTTCTTTAAAGACCTCCAGGGATGGAGCACCCGCAGCTTCTGAAGGCACGCTGTTCAATCAGAACAGAGCTGGAAGGGATCTGGGAGGTCTTCTAGTCCAGCCCCCTTGCTCAAGCAGGAGACCCTAGACCATCTCTTCTTTAAAAAGCCTCCAGGGATGTAGCACCCACAACTTCTGAACGACAAACCAACCGTTCCTGGGGTTCAATTGTTAGCAAATGCCAGCAGGTCCCATCTGCAATGCTTCCACCATCACCCCCCCCTTTTTTAATCAAAAGTCTCTCTTCGCTGCACTTCTTTAAAAAAAAAACCAACAACAACAATCTTTGAGAGGTGTAAAACACACACAGACCCACTTTGTAGCAGACCTGGAGGCATTTATTCCTCTCCCCCCCCCTCCCAGTAGTACGAAAACACCCCACCAGTGAGCGCATTCTTATCTCCCAAACTGGCTTTGTAAGCAACAGGAAGGAAGCACTGACCACGTCATGGCAAGCGAAACATGCAAAGAGCTGTGAGCGACGACAACGCTCCGGTAAACAGAAAAGCACCAATGTGTGCGATTGTTGGGGGGGGGGACCTGGAGTTCCCCTCCTCCCCTCCCTCTCTACGTACGGTTCAGCTAAAAGAGTCGAGCAGGTGGTGGTAAGCTACACAGCCGCCACAAACCGCCGAAGGATTAGAAACACACCGAGCGAGCCAGGATATGCACACACAGGTAAGTCCTCCACTTACAACGGATCGGGGAGTGACCGCTCAAAGCAGCGACGGCACTGAAAAAAAAAGTGGATTTATGGAAATAAATCGATGGAGATTCTCCCTCGTCCAGGTCACGGTGGTCCCAAAGGTGCTTTCTCAGGAGGCCACTGGACTTTTCTTGTTTTTTTTTTCCTCTGAAGACGTTTCGCTTCTCATCCCAGAAGCTTCTTCAGCTCTGGGGAACGGAAGGATTTATACTCCTTGCGGAGAGCTGGCCGTTTGCCTCCTTTGAGAGAGTCGTTGGGGAAACAAAACAGCCACTTCATAAATGCAGGGGGCAACACAGGAGAGCAAACCCATCAGGAGAAAATTCTGGATTGAGAAGACAAAGGCCGCTCTTTGGAAGACGGCAAAAGTCCACATTTTGGACAGAGAGGACCGCTGGATTAAAAGAGGGGTCCAAGAGGCCATCTAGGTACAAATTGAGCAGAGAGGGAGGGATACGATATCATCTACCTCCTGTCTACAACACAATCCTTTCAGCAGTTCCAAGAAGGCTCCACACCCATTTGCACCACTCAGGTGACCCTGAGGACACAGATAAACCTCCAAGTGGCCTCAACGCCTCTCTCAAAGAAGGCAAATGACCAGCTCTCTACAAGGAGTATAAATCCTTCCATTCTCCTCACCATCCGGTCAGAGCTGAAGAAGCTTCTGGGATGAGAAGGGAAATGTCTTCAAAGAATAATAAGAAAGTCCCATGAGGACACAGATAAACCTCCAAGTGGCCTCAACGACTCTCTAAAAGAAGGCAAATGACCAGCTCTCTACAAGGAGTATAAATCCTTCCATTCTCCCCACCATCCGGTCAGAGCTGAAGAAGCTTCTGGGATGAGAAGCGAAATGTCTTCAAAGCATAATAAGAAAGTCCCATGAGGACACAGATAAACCTCCAAGTGGCCTCAACGACTCTCTAAAAGAAGGCAAATGACCAGCTCTCTACAAGAAGTATAAATCCTTCCATTCTCCCCACCATCCGGTCAGAACTGAAGAAGCTTCTGGGATGAGAAGCGAAACGTCTTCAAAGAACAATAAGAAAGTCCCATGAGGACACAGGTAAGCCTCCAAGTGGCCTCAACGCCTCTCTCAAAGAAGGCAAATGACCAGCTCTCTACAAGGAGTATAAATCCTTCCATTCTCCCCACCATCCGGTCAGAACTGAAGAAGCTTCTGGGATGAGAAGCGAAACGTCTTCAAAGACAAAACAAGAAAGTCCAGTGGCCTCCTGAAAAAAGCACCTTTGGGGTGACTTATGACAGTTTTTCACAGCTACGACCTTTGCAGAATTCCCCCCCCCCCGTGGATTGTCTGATCCGAATTCGGAGCCTTGGCAACTGGCTCATACGTACGACCGGCGCCGTGTCCCAAGGACATGTGATTCCCCTTGACGAGCCGAGTCAGATGCAACCAGGTTGCTAACTTATCCACGGCTGCGATTCCCCTTAACGACCGTGGCAAGAAAGCGTCACGAAATGGGGCAAAATTCACTTAACAAACGTCTCGCTTAACGACGGCAGAAATGTTGGCCTCCGTGGCCGTCGTAAGTTGAAGTATAGAGCCTGTATAGGTATGTGTGTATTTAGGCAGGCGTGCATATCAACATCTCAAAAGGGAGGCATTGCACTTAACGTTTTAATCGTCGTTTCTGCAAATCCCTTTTTCTTTTTGGAAAGGGGAAAAAAAGGCTATTTTAATACATTCAGTCCCGATTCCATCGCTACGAAGCAAAACGACAAGGGGGTCCTCGGCTTACGGCCACAATTGAACCCAAAGGCTCTGCCACTAAGCAAGACAGTTGCGAAGCGGGTTCCCCCCCCCCATTTTACGGCTTTTCTTGTCACAGTTGTTCAGGGAAATCACAGCAGTTAAGTTAGCAACACGGTCGTTAAGCGGATCCGGCTTCCTCCCCCCCCCTTTGACTTTGCTTGTCAGAAGGTCGCGAAAGGGGATCACGTGACCCCGGGGCGCTGCAACCGTCATAAATGTGAGTCTGTAAATCACGTGCTGCAACGGCCGTTAAGGGTGAAAATTGGATCGTAAGTCCCTTTTTTCAGCGCCGTTGTAATTTTGAACGGTCGCTAAATGAACTGTTGTTAAGTGGAGGATTGCTTGAATTAGGCCAGACTTGCCTTACACACATCCCTTACTCAAGGGCCACTGTAGGGGGGGGGGGTTAATGTTTTTCTAATAAGGACAAAAAACATAACACTTTAATTCTGCACACTTTCTCAACTGTAAAAATGATGCCAGCGCCTTCTTAGCGAACAAACCCCAGCGAGGCATGAACAGGTTAAGTAAATATGCTGATTGTGGTTGTGTCCTCTTCCTTTCTCCATCTACTTTTTCTGTCGGGGCACCCTGAGAGCATCAAGGTGGACCCAGGCTCAAAGCAACGCTAGCCTAGAACAGGGGTAGGCAACCTTGGCTCTTTTATGACTGGTAGACTTCAATGTCCAGAATTCCTGAACCGGCCATGCTGACTCAGGAATTCTGGGAGTTGAAGTCCACGAGTTCATAAAAGAGCCAAGATTGCCCACCCCTGGCCTAGAACGTTGTTATATGGAGCACTGTCCCATGGGGAGGGGGGGAAGGTCACCTGTTAGAACTAGGGCAACGATAATTTTTTTTTGTTTAATCCTGTCCTAATTTGAGAGCTTTCAACATTGGAGACAATTTTAAGGTCAAACAACTCCCAAATGGCGGTCCAACTTTGTCTCTAAGGCACACGAGCTATACAGATGCCCAAAAAAGGACAGTATTACATCATTTATGTGATTCAATGGCCCCCATCATTGTAGTGATGGAATGGAATGGGATGGGATGGAATAGAATAGAATAGAATAGAATAGAATAGAATAGAATAGAATAGAATAGAATAGAATAGAATAGAATATATAGGAGAATAGAATAGAATAGAATAGAATAGAATAGAATAGAATAGAATAGAATAGAATAGAATAGAATAGAATAGAATAGAATATATAGGAGAATAGAATAGAATAGAATAGAATAGAATAGAATTCAGAATGAATAGAATTCAGAATAGAATAGAATAGAATTCAGAATGAATAGAATAGAATTCAGAATGAATAGAATTCAGAATAGAATTCAGAACAGAATAGAATAGAAAGAATAGAATTCAGAATAGAGTAGAGTAGAGTAGAGTAGAGTAGAGTAGAGTAGAGTAGAGTAGAGTAGAGTAGAGTAGAGTAGAGTAGCAAAGCAAAGTATTGGAATGAAGAATAGGAGTAGAAGAGTAGAGTAGAGTAGAGTAGAGTAGAGTAGAGTAGAGTAGGAGTAGAGTAGAGTAGGAGTAGAACAGAACTCAACTCTTTATTTGGCCAAGTATGATTAGACACACAAAGGAATTTGTCTCCGGAGCAGAAAGGCATACAGTCTTTAGAAAATGGAGGTTAAGCATTAGGTAATTAGTCTGCAAATCAAAAGTCTGGGCCAACAAAAGTAACTTACTATTGAAGTACACATTATCTTAGGATTGCAATTCTTTAGGAGTAGGACTATTTGGAAATAACGCTTGTGCATTTGATGCTGTGATAAACACATGGTCTTCCTTGAGTTGAGTGCAAATCACCCATAAGTGGTTTGTCCC